TGTGTGGAGTTTAGCTGCCGGATCAGCCTAAACCACGACACAGTGCCACTGGCCCCCCATGTCCCTTTGGAGGAGGGTGGCAGCTCAGCCACTCAGCCACGGGAGGATATCATTTTGCTGGCTGAATGACACCAGTGGGATAATCACTGTCGCAGCATGGACATGGTCCATGCAGGTCTGGGAAAGCAGCCCCATGCTGAGAGCCCCTCCAGTCTTGGTGAAAATGATGGCATCCTTCCGCAGCTGCATGGAGTCAGACTTGAACCCATATAGTCCAATGGATGGGTGGGCTCTCTTCACAGTCTTCTCTGTGAAACTGAAGCTGAAAGCAAGCGGGAAACAGGGAGCACCTGCCTCACTCTAGGCACAGGTCCACATTACCACTCTTAACTTTTGCAAAGGGAGCCTCGCTCCTGTTCAATAGGGAAGACTCGGGATGGCTGCAGTGCTGGTAAAAATGCCAAATCCTGCCAGTCCTGTACTGCCTTCAGCACTGAAGAACCACATAAATGGCCTGGAAGAGTTACAAGGAGGGTTTCTTTAGAACTTAGGGAAGCACTCTAAACCCTAATTTACTCTAAGAACCTCCGCAACATTTTTTACATTACAGACAGGGAAATCAAGAAGCAGAGGCGCAAGGCAACCTGTTTCCAGCACTGTACACCCAGGCCAACAGCCTGCCAGGCAAACCCCATGTGCCTGTTCTTCATAATTCTGCACCAAGCCCCACCTCTCACAAAGGAGACAGGGCCTGTGGTTTGTATTTCCTGAAACCCACTCACTTTTATGAAGAGCTGTGGTTATGTGTCTTCTGTATTTAAAGAAACAACTTCCTCTGCTTTCTCCTCCACATTTTGCTTATATCAAACAGAATGGTCCGACAGAAACAAAACCAAAGCCCAGCCCCTTCACCCCTGCAGATGAGCTACAGCAAAAGAGAAAGGGCATGAGTTTCACATCAAAAGACTCCTTCCTCCAGCCTTAAAAAACTCTAGTCCAAGAGGCAACCAAAGGAGCATCAAGAGGCACAGCTGCTTTGGCAAAAAAAACACATCCTGGCAAAGGTCTTTCTGTGTTTGGGCTCAAAACGTCCTGGAAAGGCATTATACCCTCGCTGTAAGGCTTGCATCACTAATCGTCCAAGTAAGAGCTTAAAAATTATTTTCATTGACATTGGTTATGTAATTAAAAGACAAGTCCTACTGAACTAAAAGTCCTTATCACACAATATGATGCTTCAAATCTCTTGCCTCAGTCTCTCTCATCACTATAGAAAAATACTTCACACAGAAAGACTAACACGTCCTCTAAAGCTTTGGCAATTTCAGCATTCACAGGGTAAGACGGACAAGAGGGGAAACTCCTCCATAACGTGAGTCTGCAGAAAAGGACTCTTGGTTTGACTTCAGGCACGTACCTTCAGTTTTATGTGGATCTTCTCTATGTCCCAGCACAAAAGTACCTCCTGTTTCTTACAGTTTGCACACCAAGGAGCCAAATGGCTTATGTCAGGGTGGTTAATGACAAGCAAAAAGTTTGCTATGATTCCCTGGAACACCCATTACACACTGAGGCAGGCTGCGTACATGTGTAAGAGCAGTAATTTTGCACCTCTGCATACTGGGAAGGTAAGGAAGAAGCAGAGAGAGGTGTATATATTAATGCTGGATGCTTACAATAGGAAGCCAATGGCCAGTGGCAACACTCGCAGGAGAGAGGAGAATCCAACCCAGCAGGTGGATGGGGGAGGGCTCATAACTCATTACCTGAGCATGTAGTAGAGTTTGTGATGATTCATTCCTGCCCCATTATCCTCCTAAGTTAGAAAAAGGTGACCCTTAAGCTCCACAACATCAATGCAGAAAAGCTTAGCTGTCACACGGCAATGTGAACCATTCTCCATAGAAAAAGAAACCTGGGTAGTAAGAAATAACAGTATTTCACCCTTGTTCCCTCCCTCCCTTTACCCTCCAAAGAGCAAAAGGAGTTTGCCAAACATCATCTCTCAAAACAGGAGGTTGTGTCTGGGAAAGGAGGTGGCAAGCTGGCTAAACCTTCTGGTGGCTGGGAACATCGTTCCCAGCAGCGAGGCAGGGCAGGTGTGCTGGAGCCAGGCAGCACAACGCATGTGGGACACCACGACATCAGCGGGATGCTGATAAACGGGGACCGCTGCTGCTGCCGGGGCTGTGGGAGCTGCGGGCAAGCTGTGCAGATCCA